ATCCGTTTTTTTCAGTATTGATTCAATCTATTTTAAAGTTACTGAGGATTTGTTTTTAAATAATGTATTATTGGAATTTCTATATTAAAAAATGTAGAAAAATGAATAGAAAGAATGAATATTTATGAAAAATAATATAAATTAATTTTTGTTCCACAAGTTTAAACCCCTTAAGCATCCTCTATCCTTTTTAGTTTCTAATTTGTGAATTATATTATTTATAGCCTAAAGAGCTCTGCTTGATATATTTGGCCTTATGAAAAGGTTATCTTGACTTGACAATCTTTGTATATCTAACTCGAGAAATATCAAAATGCTAATCCAATTTGACTTGGAGCGCACAAACACGAAGAGGAAACCTTTCAAAACAGTCTCCAAATAGTGGCCTTTGATCTCTTATGGAAATTAAAATAATCCAACTCTCGGCGAGAAGATCAACGGAGGACAAGTTTCGCCTGCCCAACGCGCACATAATGAATAAAAAAAACCAACAAACATGACAAGCGACTGGACGTCACTTCGAATTAAATCACTGCGCGCGGCACAAACTCGCTGCGGCCGCTTCAAAATTTTAACAGATAGAATTACAAAAAGCGAATAAAAAAATAATATGAGGAAAAACGCAACACAGGGTTGGAAACCGAAGACCGAAAAAACGAAAATTATTTACACATTTTGCGGCTGCGTGTGGAGGAGGTAAAAATAAAACCGAGTGCGCCACAGATGGTAGGTGTAAAGCAGGGTTTCGGAGCGGTGTTTTTTGAAACGCTCCTTGGCGCCGAACGCGCCGCGCCTTTTCTTAGGACCGCTCCATCGCGCCAAGGAGCGGAGCGCTCCATGATCAAAGCGCGCCTCGGCGCCAAGGCGCGGCGCCTTTTCGGAAGGAACGCTCTTTCGCTCCAAGGCGCGGAGCGGAGCGCTTTATACTGGCGCCGCTCCAAGGCGCGGCGCGTGTTTTACTTGCGCCGCTCCAAAATGCGGCGTGCTTTTAGAGATGCGTTTTATTTACATAAAATTATTAAAATTGGGAATTAAATTATAACAATTATTTTTAATCAATTAAATGGATCAACAAATTATTCTGACAACCTCTTTTAATCATTCTTTGATAATAGTTAAAGCTTTTAAATTCAAATCATCAAAATTAAATTTCAGCACAAAATCTTCAATCTCCTATTAATTGACACACCACTATACTATCAAATTATTATTCAACCCACTAGAAGCTTCAAATTAAAAAAAAAAATTAAATAATATTGACGGATAACGAATTCTCATATTAATCCAAACAGAAGGCCAAATAATATACATGACATATATAGAAGTGAATAAAATCAGGCTGGTAGCTGTGTCTAGAAATATTGATTTTCTAATATAAAAAATTATATAAATTCATCAATGACAAAACCCAGTTCTTTTCTTACTTTTACGAACGTCTCATTAAGTGCCAATTTCTTCTCAGAAATAAATTTAAAAGAGGCAGTTCAGTGGCTATTCACTTTTGTGTACATAAGAGAACAACAGGGGGAAGCACATGAGTAAATAAAATAGGCCAGATCGCATTCAAAGAGAATAATATAATCCAATTGCTACCCTGGAGCGGCGCGGAAGGAGCGGCGCCGAGCACGGCGCGCCTCATCAGAGCGCTCCTTTGCGAAAGGCGCGCCTTGCTCCTGAGCTAGGTCGCGCCTTGGCGCTTGGCGCGCCGCAGTGCCCACATAGAGCGCTCCTTTGGCGCCAGGCGCGGCGCGTTTTTTTGGCAACCGCTCCTTGTATAAAAAGCGCTCCTCGCGCCTTCATACGACCGCTCCTCGCTCCAAAACGCGCTTTGGAGCGATTTGGAGCGCCAAAACGCGCCCGCTCCGAAACCCTGGTGTAAAGAGAGCCCACGGATTGAAAGTTGATCCCTGAGAGCAGCAGGGCCTCCCCCTCGCCGCAATAATTTTTCTTCTCGGCGTGACACATTCTTCTGGTCTCAAGCAAAGCGACATGTATGCATGAGGGTTGCTTTTTTCACGCGGGCAGCGAAATAAAGCGCCTTCACACTCGGCGTTTTGTGACGTCACGCCCCTGCGGCTGCTGCAGCAAATCTTTGACGCTCAATTGAGAAAAATCGCGCGCGGCTCGTGGCCCTTTTTGTCCTCGGAGGAAATTATTTATTGAAAAGAAAACGCTCTCGTCGACCTTTGTGAACGCGATTTCTTTATGCGACGCAGCTGCCCCTCTTTTCACAACGATTTGATTGAGGAATTGCTCGCTCGAGATTTTTCTTCTTCGGTGTGATTATCGCACCTTCGCAGCCAGACATGCACACAGCACAAGCTCTCCCATTCTGTGGGGGACGCCGGTCGTCCCAAGTGCGCATGCAGTTTGCGGAGCAAATTTTGTTTGCGTCTGAAGAGAGGCGAGACGCGCCTCGAGTTCTATTCAATTGCCCGTAACGAACAAAATATACTTCTTGCCAATAGTGAAATGTTTGATATTTTGTTGCGCGTGAAAATTAAAGAATGTCCATCGCAATTTATTCAAAACAGTATGTTTTTTGCTGTTTAATTTTTATTTTATCATTCTTAATTGTTGTTTCATAATATTAAATAATTGAAATAGATGCATTATACAAATAATAAATTATCAATTATCATTAAGCTTGTGCATTTTATATAGTTGACCTAATATTTTTAGTGCGACACTGAGATCCTTCCTTCTGAAAATGCAGCCCAAATTCAAAATTAACTAAAAACGGCGATTTCTTCAGTTTCTGACAGAATAAATATTCCGAGCTTATATATTTATGTATACAAATTTAGGAACAAAATTTTTGTCCCACACATAAGACTCATTTAAACAAACTGTCAATTTCTAATATCAAAATTCTATTGAACGATAGTTCACCAAAAATTAAATTGTACCTCTTTATCACAGATTATTTTGGAATCACATATAATTTAGAATTTATGGCTAGGAAATAAAAAAATTATGAAAATTCAATAATAAAACCTTTCCTTCCGAACGAAAAGAATGATGAAAAATATTTGGGGAAAAATCGGTTGAAATAACATTTTAATTTGAAATCTCAGTATATAAAAGAATCAACAAAAATGTACTATTTTGGCAATTCACCACAGAAAATTGACTGAAATGCACGAGACTAATTTTCAAATGAAGTAAATAATTTGGAATTGAAAATAATCAATACAATTTAGCTATTCATATTTTTAATGGCGACAAAACATAATCAAATTAAAAAATCTGCGCGTTAAATCGATAATCTCCGAGATTTTCATTCCAGAAAATATTTTTTAAATAGCTTCTCTCAAAATAAAGCACTTTTATAAATGATCCTGTTTGTATTATGTATAGAGAGAGGCTCACTGGCGTCGCATTTATATTTTTATAATAACGGACGGATGGCAGCAATTTTTCAGAAGTAATGTTCTCCGGTGACGGCTGCACACATTATTCGTCTAATTTATGTGTGCGCTGCCTCCACGAATAAAAACATACACACGCGAGACGTGCATTGGACGGACGGGCGCGAGAAAACTAAAGAGCTACATTTCTTTCGCCCACGTTTGAAAATCGGCTGCTGGCCGTCGGCCAAGAAAAATCAAAACTGCTCGCGGGCAACAGTCAATTTGACTCTGCGCGACGGATGAACGGGTGAGATGTTTTATGTTTGTGCACCTGTGTTTGCTTTCCCTTGTAATTGACCGCTTAAAATAACTTTGATTTAGAAAAAAGGGTTCAAATTTTTGAGAATTTATCCCTTCGCTATGAATGTATGCCTAAATGTGAACAAAATTCTAATTTTTAGATCAAATTAAATTAAGTTTTAATCTCAATTATCTATATTTTGAATAGATAACTAATCATTTGCATTAGATTATTCAATTTGTTATCGTTAAGTTTTTAAGTTAAGAAAATAAATGAAAGAAACGGTTTCATAGGAAAATAATATATGGTAATTTCAATATGAAGAGTAAAAAATAAAAACATATTTTTCAATATTTTTGTTAACAAAATTTTGAAGAATTGGAAAGTAAGAAACAAACAAAATTATTCTTTGGTTTATTGTGTGTCACCTCCAGGCATTTCTTTTTAAAAAGCAGAGAAAATTCTAAACAAACTGCATTCAAATGTCAAATTCTATTCATTTCAAAATGTTTCAAAAGAGGCAAAAAGTAGCGTTATGCGTTTTCCACCCCCGCGCATAGACAACTCAATCTATAAAGCTCGCGGGTCAAAACTCTTTCACGCCACAAGCTTGACACCACAAAAAGGCCCAGCTCGATATTTAGGCATTATAAAAAAGCGCACGCTCTGAGAGACGTGAGTGATTTACGACTTCCCTGCCCGCGCACAATAAAATAATGCAACTCCGATTTCGAGACTTGTTTATTGGGGGTCGTAAATGTGTTCAGGAAAATTGACTCTGGCAGGTCAACTCACTGTCTGACCATTCACGGGGCGCAACAATGAGGACTTTCGAGGGCCCCGGGGGCGTCGATGACAGCCAAATTACAGGGTTCACCCTGGCCAGTTTGTTTCTCGCCAGCGCTTCTAATTTCGATTATTATTTTCCAGCGTCACGGACGCCCATAAATTACTACTATTCAAAGTATATAAGCGTTTCAAATTGCTTTTAAGCCTGCTTTTTGTTGGCTAAATAAACAGTAAAGTGGGCAAGAAAGTCACTAACGGCAAGAGAAAGAAAGAAAGAAAAAAAAACATAATATATTTTTAAATTTTATAGAAGATCAGGAGTCAATAATAATAATACTTTAATAATAATTAATTTTCACAATACAAAAAAAATAGAATTGTTTAATTTCACTTATTTTCAGCAATCAATAAATTATAAAACTTAAACCGTCTAAAAATTTCATCTTCAAAGATATAGTTATTTAAGAACCAAACTCAAACCTAATGAGTAAATTTATAAATAATTTGCAAAGAATTTAATTTAAATAATAATTATATATGATAAATTTTATATTTACCTTAACGATGTTATCGTGGACGAGCTCCCTGAGGAGAAGCATCTCCTTGACGATTTTAGCCGCAGCCCGGTTATAACAGTGACTTATGTTGTGTCCCTTGTCCTGGCACTCCTTCAGGCTGTGCCCGTCCAGGTTGACCGTCTTGACAGCCACCGGAGTGCCGAGGAATCGGCCCTTGTACACCGCCTTGGTCCATCCGCCGGCCAAGAACTGCAGCTCCGTGATGTTCTTGAGCGACTCGCAGTCGATCTCGGTACTCAGCAGGGCTGCGTGTCCACCCTGTCCAGCGCCATCCGGCACCAGGACTGTCCTGGGGAAGATGCCAGGGCCGAAGAGCAGCACCCCGGCGATGGCGAAGAGACTCACGTACGCTGCCACGAACAGATACAGCCCGGACAGGCTGTTGGTGCCGTCCTGCTTCATGTCTGTCCGAAGCACATGCCCGTGCGCGTTGCAGCTGAACTCGTACACGTTCGATCGTGGCCACTGCTACACGGACACTCGCCGAATAAGTCGTACACGCCTCGCCCGCGCTCCCCCCGTCCTAGCAAAATCGAGCCGGCGGCCCGAGCGGTGGAAGGGGAAATTTGACAGTGCTAACAAGGCCATGGAAGCTCAAGAAAGGATCTCTCGCCTAATCAATATGACTGTTAAAGTTTAAAATTAGCAGAATACTACTTATATATTCAATTAAAAATGAAATTTAAATTAAATTTAAAAATAAAATTTTCAACTTGATGAGGGAAAAAACTCGATAAATTAACTCTTATTTTGTCCGATTGTGGGCTGCCATGGAGCGGCAGAAACATGGCCGAAGTGGGGACAAAGCAAGTGGGTGGTGGGAAACGGAGCTGCACGAGGAGTATGTTGAGGAGGCGGAGGGTGTGAGGAGGAGCAGCACCACAATAATGAGATGCTGCGGCCAAACAAGAAGAGAAAATAAAAACCTACCTGCCGAGTGTCAAGTTAACCCACGGACCTTTTTTATATTTATTATATTGGACATTATTTTCTACTTCTCTTGACACGTCTGTTAAAAAATCTCGCGGGGCCGCATTCCAACCACAGAAAAACAAACACAAAAGATTTTCAAATTTCCTAGCGTATTGAAGTGAGATGGTCACTGTGATTAATAAATAGAGAATCAATACGGCTTGTTTTTTTTTGTCAAGGGGGGAAAAGTGTGAAATTGTAAATATTTTAGCACATAGATAATTAATTTAATTAATTAAACATGATAAAACCCTAAATAATATTTGGAACAATGATGATGATGATAATATGGATAATATACATGGTAGTTTTTTTTAAATTTATTTATTTATTTTTCACCAATATTTCGTATTAATTATTCTTCTGTCTTGAAATTAATTAAGTAATATCCTGTTTCTTTAAAACTGCAAGAAAATATACAAAAATAAATTTTTTTATTTTCGATATGATTATTTTACATTATTATAAATTATAAGGACAAAAATAGCCACGTGAAAAGCCTTTTTGTAATTCTTTATTAATTTTGTCACCTGCAACTTTTCAAGGAATAATCGTCAAAATTAAGGACTCTCTGTTGTGACCATAGTCAAATCAAGTCTTTACAACAATAGAAGCCATCTTTTTGCAATTATTGGAAATTTAAAAACCATTGTTGTAAAGACTTGATTTGACTATGTCAATAACGAGTCGTTAAACACGCGCGGTCGTTAAACAAAATAAGAAAGTTCTCAACAATCAAAAATTGCAACCGATATAGGAACTATAACCGACGTTAGAACTTTTGTTTCTTTTGACTGTTCGGAAATTTTAAACGTCGACGACAGATCAGAATCTTCATCGGCAATTTAAAGTTCCTTTAATTCAAAAGTCTTCTGCTCTGAGACACAAATGGCTGCTAATAACATCGTCATTGGAGACCAGGCGGTAATTTAAGAAGTTTGATTAAATCTTTATTTCAACCACCAACTGAAGAGCGAATTTTTAAAAAAATTCACAGTATAAATGTTCTTCTCTATTTTTGTTTCGCAGCGCCTTGTCACTACAGGCCTCGAAGACCGAAGTGTGGAAGTTCTTAGAACTCAGCCGGCGCCTACTTTGCAAGCCTTGGTGGCCCTGCCCAAGCTGCAACTTCAGAACGCACTGCAGGTGAATCTTCAGCGAGTACGCCTGTCCTGGGGTGAGTAAAATTGTATTCTGCAAAGAAATTACGTTCCTCCGATTGCCAAAAAAGACTTTAGTGCGCAACCCCTAAGTCAACTGAAACTTTCCCGATATCATTTAAATGTAACATACATTTATGAATCGACGAATCACAATATTATTGGTGTCGTTGCATGTTAATGCATGAATCATGAATCCTCATTTTTTGTCACAGACAAGAACCAGCTGGCCGAGAAACTTCTCGAATTTGTGATCATGCTTCGCCAACACAGAGTCTGAGCTTCCATTCCGGGTGAAGAGTTTGAGGTGCAGGATGTACCCAGTCACAAGGATGCTTGAGCAGCACAAAGTTGTTAATATGAGTTTATATTAGAAATAAGCAATTTTGGTTAAAGGCGGTCAACATTAGTAAATAGGCTTGTTTCGTTATTATGAGTTAAAAATTTAAACTATTCGTTAACCTTCTAAAACAATAAACCATTATTAATACACAGAAGTTTTCAAATAAATGCATATATACCTAAAATAATAAATGCTATTTTGAATACAAAATTATTTACTTAAATACTACAAAAAATTTACTTTTATCAACAAGGTCTCATCACAGGAGCAGTAGCCCTTCTGTGTATTGGTGTGTAGCATGTTTTCCATTATCAGGGAATAATCATGTCATAGATTTTCATTGTTTTGGTGCAAACCCGGTACGACAAGATTCAACTTTGATTTTGGCACTGCCTTTTACCTAATTCAGGTCGAATTCTACTGCTGCTGGCAAACTTCAGTCATGTGTCTCAGGTTGGCCGTAGAGGGTTTCAAACCTCAATGTTGGAGCAAAATAAAATGGGACAGTAAAATTACAGACTGGTGTGGAATAATTATTTTATTCCTCTCTTAATTTGTTTGTTTTGACTGTGGCTGTGTCATCGGAGAACTTCATTGTTTTTTGTTATTATTATTTTTCAATTAATTTTCGGCTTACAATTAAATTCATTTTTTAAGGGCTTTCTTTTTAATTATTCTTTTTTAATTTCTGGCAATTGTTTTAAGTTGAATTCTTACAAATAAATCTTGCATTTATTTTAAATTTAAAGTAGCTTTAAATTTACAAATAATTATTATAAATTCAATTGGAATTAGCTTGTACAATTCATGGGATTCCAATTCACTTCAAGGGAATTTATAAAGGCATTTTAGAATTCAACTGCAGATTCACAGAACTTTCTAGATGCATCTAGAAAGTTCTCAATGTAAATCAAATGGGTGGGTGGGTTTTGCACGACCCTCCCAGGGCTGCTGCCCGCGCTATAAAAGGCGCTCCGTCCGCTGGCTCGATGCAGAAGGCTGACAGACCTCAGAGAAATCCGAGGTAAAGCTCCGACACTCGAGCCAGCTGACGGAGAGCATTCAACCCTTTGCTCTTTGTTCGCAGGACACCTGGACTTCCAGTGCAGTTTCGGACACCCGTCCGAACCCTTCGCACTCGTCCGAGCCGTCCCAAGGCCCCGACCGCTGTCTTGTCCCGACGCTGTCTCGTCCGAGGACAGCCGGAAGGCCGACCGCGTCCCGAGCCCCTCGAGCGGCACGCCTGTGTCCATCGTACTGTCCGGGGTGTGGCCGAGCCGTCCGAAGCCGTACGGAGCAGTTTTGCCAGGTAAGAGAAATTACAATTGTTTCTCCCTGAGGCCTTCTTTTGGCCAAAAGGTCAAACCACTACGTGAGACGGAAGTACAGCCGAGTGACCCATTGTTTTTGTCCCCAGCTCCTTCCTGTCCGAGGAATCGGGCGCCGACGTGGCACGCCGCCAGCGAGCGCTCGGACGAAGGCGTCCGAACGTCCGCCGCCAGAGACCCGCACGCCGTGGGCCCCGGCCGCGCCGAGAGCCGCCGCCGACCTGCAGGGAGCCGTCCGGGTTCCCAGCAAGGACGTTTCCAGGGCAGCCTGCCGGCCTACCCAGGGAACACCGCTCCCATTTGTTGATTTTTAAGTGACACTATACGGACAATTTCGAGCCAGTGAATTTACCCTATCCAGCCAGAATTGTTGTGAATACAATAAAGCCCGTGTGTAAGCCAACTTGCATTGTTTTAAACAATTACAAATTAATCATAATAATTTACACAATAGAAATTACTGAACAATTACCCATTAATAATTTATTAAGCAATTAAATAATCAGTCAGTATAATCATATGCAAACCCCTTACTTGCAACTTCTTATTATCATTTTGGTTTGCAATAAACTAAATTTGTAATACCAATTGGCGATCCTGGCACTCCTGGGGATTATACTGACAAACACAATAAACAAATTACAATTTACACAATTTTTACAACTTTATTTTGTTAAAACACAATGGCAGCCAAAGAACAACTGTCTCCTTTATTTTTAAATCAAATTCATTTTGGACCCCTGGCTGCTGAGCAGACAACAACGGGGTGTGACCCTGGAGGGTGTGACCCTGGAAAGACTCTACAGCTGTACAAGTCGGACGACAACGATCCAATTGCACAACTTTCCCTCCCACTTCAACAACAACAAACACTTCTTTCTTGCCAATACCAGCAGTACACTCAGGTGGATGTCCTGCACCCTCAGGAGCACCTCCTCCCCTTGGACGGCGCATCACAGGTTGGCCAACTGCTGCCTGAACACCCAGTGTCCCACATCAATCATGACGAGGCGCCAAAACCAGATGTACTCACAGAGAGACCTGAAAAGAAAACTGGTCAGCAAATATTTTATGGCAAATTACACAAACAAACAGAAAACAGGGCAACATCACTACACACTACACAATTGTCCAACCAGACACAAAATGGGCAATATTTTCAACCCAAGTTGGACTTGACATTAATCCCTGTATTCTCTGGAGACAAAATATTGCTGGAGGATTTTCTTATCAGCATTGCTGGATTTTTCACCTACCAACAACTGCAGCCAAAAGATGTGTGGTGGTTGTTACTTTTCCGCACTTCTGGACGAGCAAGGGAGTTTGTTAAGCGTCTTGACGAGGCCACCATCAGCAACTTCTCCTCACTCCAGAAAGTTTTTCAAGACGAATTTGAGCCGCCAGTAAGCACCCTGCAATTGCACAGAAAATTTGTAAAAGCCTGTCAGCTTGAGGGGGAAAGTTCAGAGGAATTTTACCTACGATTGAGAGGGCTGGCAGACAAATTGTGGCACCATGAGCAATTAATTGTTGGATTAAGTTTAAAACAAAACTTCGAGGTCAGAGAAGAGGAGTTTCTGCGCATTTTCATCCGTGGCCTACGAGTCGACTTTTATTGGCAGGTGTACATCCGGCAGCCAAAATCAATTCTTGAGGCACGCAAAATCGCCATTCTCGTTGAGGAAACTGCTAACAGCATTAAGGAAAGATTAGATGAAGACTTCAAGCAGGCAAACGAACCAACTCACCAATACCGTCCTCCAACCCAACGAAGAGCAGTAAACCTTCCTCAATTTTATGCTTCCCAGAACCACTCCCCAACAAGCCAGAGCTGGCCAGGACCATCGGCTTCTGCTCCAAATTTGCATTACTCTTCGGCAATCCTTCCTCCAGTCGGTCTCTTTGACTTCCAGCATTGGCCACCTGCGGCAGTGCTTCCACCACTTCCGTCAAATTTCCACGAGAAGGCAGAATTCAGTTCATCCAGAATACCTTCTCACCTGAGGGGGAGCGAGGAAAATGTAAATGAAAGTGACGCAAATTTTGCAGAGAATTTATTTACCAACCATACTTGCAACTCCAATTCTCGCCCTCACTTCTCCACACACTCAGACAAGACGGATATTGTCCATGCCCACCGACCATCCGCCAGCAACAACCACGTCCCTTCTGCGACTCGTAGAGAGAAACGTCGACGGAAAAGACGGTTCAAGCGACGACAACAAAGGGCTTCTAAAGCGATCTTGCCGTGTCGCACAGCGTCCAACAAAATTGGCGAAGGCAAAATTTCTGCAAATGAAGAGCAAATCTTGAGTGCATTGGGCCGGTTAATACTGCCAAAACTTACCCCACCTGCCGACCACATCGCCCAGCGTGCATTTACTCGCCGACGGCGCCGCCGACAACGCCGACAACCGACAGATAAGGCCGAATTTGCCATTAAAACTCCCACACAAAAACCCACAACGTGTGCGGCAAATAAACAGCGTGGGCCAGCTGTTATCTGTGGCGGCCAAAAAGTCAATGAACTTTTCACAAGGGGGGGAAGAAAAATCAGCAGGAGAGAGATGAAAGTGGCGCCACAACCAAGTTCGCCATCAAGCCAGGAGAGGGAGAAGGAAAAATCAGCGCACAAAGAACCAAGACCTCGCCCTCGCCGCATGCGAACAACAACAACAAGGCCGGATTCACGCTCGATTATGGTGCCCACGACGTTTTTCCTTGAGGGCAGCGCCAGCTCAGGATCTGAACAGTCTACGTGCAGTACGTCGTCCTGGCAATCGTCCTGGAAATCATCCAGTCACAGCTGACCACAGCCGCCAGTCAAAAGAGGGGGATTTGGTGTGGAATAATTATTTTATTCCTCTCTTAATTTGTTTGTTTTGACTGTGGCTGTGTCATCGGAGAACTTCATTGTTTTTTGTTATTATTATTTTTCAATTAATTTTCGGCTTACAATTAAATTCATTTTTTAAGGGCTTTCTTTTTAATTATTCTTTTTTAATTTCTGGCAATTGTTTTAAGTTGAATTCTTACAAATAAATCTTGCATTTATTTTAAATTTAAAGTAGCTTTAAATTTACAAATAATTATTATAAATTCAATTGGAATTAGCTTGTACAATTCATGGGATTCCAATTCACTTCAAGGGAATTTATAAAGGCATTTTAGAATTCAACTGCAGATTCACAGAACTTTCTAGATGCATCTAGAAAGTTCTCAATGTAAATCAAATGGGTGGGTGGGTTTTGCACGACCCTCCCAGGGCTGCTGCCCGCGCTATAAAAGGCGCTCCGTCCGCTGGCTCGATGCAGAAGGCTGACAGACCTCAGAGAAATCCGAGGTAAAGCTCCGACACTCGAGCCAGCTGACGGAGAGCATTCAACCCTTTGCTCTTTGTTCGCAGGACACCTGGACTTCCAGTGCAGTTTCGGACACCCGTCCGAACCCTTCGCACTCGTCCGAGCCGTCCCAAGGCCCCGACCGCTGTCTTGTCCCGACGCTGTCTCGTCCGAGGACAGCCGGAAGGCCGACCGCGTCCCGAGCCCCTCGAGCGGCACGCCTGTGTCCATCGTACTGTCCGGGGTGTGGCCGAGCCGTCCGAAGCCGTACGGAGCAGTTTTGCCAGGTAAGAGAAATTACAATTGTTTCTCCCTGAGGCCTTCTTTTGGCCAAAAGGTCAAACCACTACGTGAGACGGAAGTACAGCCGAGTGACCCATTGTTTTTGTCCCCAGCTCCTTCCTGTCCGAGGAATCGGGCGCCGACGTGGCACGCCGCCAGCGAGCGCTCGGACGAAGGCGTCCGAACGTCCGCCGCCAGAGACCCGCACGCCGTGGGCCCCGGCCGCGCCGAGAGCCGCCGCCGACCTGCAGGGAGCCGTCCGGGTTCCCAGCAAGGACGTTTCCAGGGCAGCCTGCCGGCCTACCCAGGGAACACCGCTCCCATTTGTTGATTTTTAAGTGACACTATACGGACAATTTCGAGCCAGTGAATTTACCCTATCCAGCCAGAATTGTTGTGAATACAATAAAGCCCGTGTGTAAGCCAACTTGCATTGTTTTAAACAATTACAAATTAATCATAATAATTTACACAATAGAAATTACTGAACAATTACCCATTAATAATTTATTAAGCAATTAAATAATCAGTCAGTATAATCATATGCAAACCCCTTACTTGCAACTTCTTATTATCATTTTGGTTTGCAATAAACTAAATTTGTAATACCAAGACCTCATTTTTGATAAGGAACTTTTTGCTTGACGAGTAGCAAAAAAGTGTCATAAAATAGGACAGTAAATGTGCTGAAATCAAAGGCAATCTTCTAAAACAAAAGCCGAGAAATACAAAGTAACACAGCCCAGAAAAGGATCTTTTAGAAGATCGAAAAGATATTATCATTGACGCAACCTGCAACCTGCATACACAACGCAGCCTTCATGTTTACATTACAATTTTTTTGTCTCTCAGCTCTCAGTCTCTACTTCTTCACGTGCTCGCGAGGTCGCGCGCCACACCAGCTCTAATTTTCTCCAACGAGCGGAAACGCCATCTAGGAAACGTAGTAAGAACTCGATGGCGAGAGGTCAGAGGACGTTGATGAGCTCTGTTATTTTTTAGTTTACGTGAAACGTGTGGCATGGCGGCATGAGTATGAATGTGAATTTTTTAGTCAAATGTACGTAGCAAATGTTTTATCCCTTTCAATCAACGTGATCCTTCAGTATAAAACACTTTAGAGGTAAGTTGACATTTTTGCGCAAATGAAAAAAGACTATTTCCTAAATATTTATATTCCTAACCGCCTAGATAAATTTATAAACTAATCTTAAATTCTTCCACACTTCCATATTACTTTCTTGCCGGTCCCATTCAGTCCCATTGAAACGACTGAAACGAGCTATTAAATCATATTATTGGAATTATTTATTAGAAATGATTGCTTCCTCCAATTAAAAAATACATAATTATTATATTATTTCCAGTGATCTTTGCTAATTTGAAAAATGGAGGAAGACGAAGAGTCGACTAGCAGCGTGACCAAGTCGCTGACTGCCGACGAAGAAGCGATTCTCGGCAAGCAGGACAGCCGCCTCGTGTCCGCATTCCAGGCCTTGAAACTGGAGAAAGACGCCAAGAAAAACTGGGACTTATTTTACAAGCGCAACGAAACTCGTTTTTTCAAGGACCGACACTGGACCACGCGCGAGTTCGAAGCGTTGGTTGCTGGCAGTGAGGAGAAGGTCCTGTTTGAAGTTGGTTGCGGCGTGGGCAACTTTTTCTTCCCTTTGCTGGAGGAGAGCAAGAAGCTCTTTGTCTATGCCTGCGATTTTTCTGACCGAGCCATCGAGTTTGTTAAAAATGACTCGAGATTCGACTCAAGCAAAATTATTGCTTTTCGGGTAAAATAGTTAACTCAAGGCCTATACTTGCAATTAATTATATCCTTATTTTATTCAGGCAGACATTACAACTGACGATTTGTCCATAAATGTTCCAGAAGGGTCGGTGGACATAGTGACCCTCATATTTGTTCTGTCGGCCATTCACCCAGAGAAGTTTGTTCAGTCTGTTAAAAACATTCATAAGGTTTTGAAACCTGGTGGTTTGGTGCTGTTCCGAGACTACGGTCTACACGATATGGCTCAGCTGAGATTCAAACCAGGCCATAAAATTGCTGACAATTTCTACATGCGACAGGATGGAACAAGGTAGGGAAATTATTTGTGATGGGAACTTTTGGTCATAAAAATTTTCTACTTTAGGAGTTACTACTTTACCACCGACGAAATTGAGCACATGTTTTCCAAGGCTGGTTTTGACAAGAAGTCTCTGAGCTATGTCCACCGCAGGACGGTTAATAAAAAAGAACAAATCGATGTGCCTAGGATCTTTGTTCAAGCAGAATTTGTTAAAAATCTGACTAACAAAGCATTGTGCGTTTGAATTTGGGACGCAATGAAGGTAATTCTTTATGAATTTTATTTTATGATATGTCCAAGCATTCTGATGATTTCATAGTTCAATTGAATTACTATGATGAAATTGATAGCATTTGTCTTTCGCTCCTATCTGACTTGCAATTGGAGTTGTTATAAATATTAACTGAAGATCACTTTGACTTTTATGTAACACCAAAATTGCTATTTTTTTGCAGATATATTGCGACATGGATAATTCAAATTAGGATGGTGATGTGGCATAATGAACAGGTAATTTTTAGCATTGGCTATTTAAAATCAATGATAAATTTATATCTCAATGATGATTTCATAGTTCAGTTGAAATACTGTGATGAAACTAAGCATTTTGTCTTTCGCTCCTATCTGATGCAATGTTTTTTTTTATCATTACCCTTGACTGGAACGACGTTAATATAATTACGTTGTTACTTTTGCAGATGTCGGCAGCATCCTTATTATTATTGAAGTGATTAAGGCAAATGAGCAAAAGGTTCTGTCAAGTGCGCCATACGGGTTTCAGGTAATCAATTAATCTTATTGTAATAATCAATTTTTCAGTATGATGATTTCATAGTTCAGTTGACAAACTATGATGAAACTAATAGCAATTTGTCTTTCGCTCCTATCTGATGGATAATTTTCTGTCATTATTCCATAATTTTTTAGCCGAATCTAATTTATCCCACATCCATAGATATCTCGCAACTTGGAGGATATAATTGACAAAGATGTGCATAGAGGAACCATATAGAATCTTTCAGAGGGAAACCGCTCTTGAGAGGTTTGTTTTTGTTTATTCTTTAAATAATGAACTGCAATTTCAATTGATAATTGGTGATTGAGAAACAAAAATGTCTTCTCATGCTAATTTTTAAATTTATATTACAGATTTGCAGAGCCGGCTTGGTTTTTTTTATTGAAAGGAAAACCAATGTTTCGAGGTTTGCAGTAAATCCTACGGCCTTACTCTACATAACAGAAATGTAAAGACCTTTACTGTCTGTGCATAATGCAGGTAATTTTCTCATATATTGTATCAAAATGAAATATTCTTATAATGATGACAAACTATAATTGTATTTGATTCTCTGTGATTGATAACAAATAGTCAACACTTCTGAATTTTTCATGATTTTGATGAAAAAAAAAAAAAAATCAGTTCCATTGTTTATTAATGATTTATGTTAATAGATTTGCCTGACAAATTTCTGCTTATATAAAAGAAGATGGGTCAGATTCGTGGAACATTCCTTGGGTGTTCATTTTCTACGTCTACACTACACTGCAGGTATTTTCCATTATTTTGTCTTATTAAAATAATCTTCATAGTGATGATCAACTATTTGTGTTTGATAATTAGTGATTTATAATACACAGTCAACAATACTGAATTGTAATCAGATTATGTAAAGACAAGAACTAAATTTTTGTGCATACTAATGCAGAATGTTAACAGATTTCTCGAGTACTCAATTTCTGCCTTACAAGGAGGATGTTCGTATTATGCAGGTATTACGATAGCTACAATTGGTTAAATAATTCAATATCTTTTATGATGAAGAAATATTTCAATTGATAATCTATAATTGAAATCTTAAACACACACCTTCACTTATTTCTGAAATCCTTATAATTGTAGTTCATAAATCAAATATTTTTCATCATTTTTGGTAAATCATGTATTTTACATTTTAGACTTCTTCGGATGAAACATTGTTGGTTGTGCGATCAGATGCTATTATTGATGAGAAATGAACAAAGGGAATTTATTGCTGTCTTAATTTAATTTCAAATGATGCATTAGAAAAATGAAACGCATGGTAATTTTTTATAAATGAAAATATTAGTAAAAACCATTGAAACTGGGAATATTACTATAAATATTTTTCCAATTTAATTATCTTTTTGATGTCGTACTTTATAAAATAGTTGACAAATAAAATATTTTGGATTGTATTTTTTGGCTCTTTTCTTTTCTTAAAACTTGAATCACTGTCAATGTACTCAATTTTAGAAGTTTTCAAATAATTTGAGATTAAAAAGATTTGTGGTAGTTTTAAAAGGAACTCAGATGAGCCTAATAGAATTGTGATGTATGTATGGTGGGCGTTCGCCAGTGTAGAAGCGGCGCCTAACACAAAGCGTCAGAGAGCGGATGCTACATTTGAATAGCTTGCGACGACATTCATATATTAGAATCAAACACTTTCTTTGAGCTGATAAATCCAGCGCCTTGCTACCATCCGCTGCTTCCTTATTATCTGCCGGAATGAAACGTACTCTATTTGCAAAGAACATGTTCGTATCAGAGTCGGCAATTCCTCTCCAATTTGGGCGTCTTGCTTGCTTTCGTGACAATCGAGCCGAGACAAAAGCGATTCTCTCCGCATGTGACGTCCTTTCTCTCGCAAATAGATTTGAAGAGAAAACGCCTGGTGGTAGTCTAGGTATGCAACCTGCTTGTCAGCCGTGACGCGCGGCTGGCATAACCAACTTCCGACACAGCCAATCAAACTACGATTCCGCTCCGATTTCAGTTCCCAGAAGTGTGTATTCTATTTGCCTCAACGCCGCTTAATCAACGGGCATTATTTGATTGGTGCAGCGACATTCAATCTACAAAAAATACCAAAATCGATTATATAGTTTTATATGGAGTTAGTGTGTTTTGATTGCCAAAAGTGTTTTCTGTCTAATTCAACAATAAGGCTGATCCCATATTCCTAAGCTCACTTAAATTATCATCTAAAATCTAAATCAAAACAAATTTACTTTCAAAATTTTTAATCTTTAGGTATGCGGATCATAGATATAAATTATTATACTGAGACAGGACATAACAGAGATTAATTTTAATTTTTGGACAATTGATTTGAGTGGATTAAAAATTTGAAATATTTATAAATTTTACATGCAAATGCAACTAAAGACTGCAATTTATATTGCATTAAAAAAAACTCATCTATTTATTATCTATCTATTTATTTTTCAAATAAGAAAATTGTAAATAATTTATTTTCTAAAACACCAAAAGCCTTGCGGAAAATGATTTATAAAAGAGAAAAAATTCGCTTCTTTAAAAGTTCTGAGATAGAGCCTGCCATAAAAATGACTTTGGCGCAGGTTTAGGTTTGATGGTGTCTTTGGGAGTTAGCACTGGTGCCGCCCTGACGTGCGAACGCGAGAAGGGCAAAGTGCCAGTGCGCTTTGTCAGCAGGGGCGCGCGTATCATTACGCGACCATAATGGCAGCCGCTTGTCATTTTAACGCATTCACGAGGCGTCTGCGGGGGCAGCTGCCGTAATATTATGGCGGCAGGCAATATAAATTTAAACACATTTACCTCGGTGTTGTTGAGCATACATTATCCCATTCGCATTATTGTAATAACACCTTCCAATATTGGCGCGTAATGGAATTTCCTGTGCGCGCTGTGTTGTCACACGCGCGACTCGCTTCCGTCCCTTTACTTTTTTTGCTGTTTTTTCTTTATTATTTTCCCCTTTCTCTCACGTCAGCGATACTCGCGTCAAGTTCTTCAATTTCCTATTTCGCGCCAAACTTGTTCTTTTCGGGGCCAAAAGAATACTCTGCCGGCTGATCGAGCCGATCAAAACTTCACGGTGCGGATCGAGCAAGCGGAATATTGACAACTTTTCAGCCACCAGAATAAATAATGGCGAGATGAGAAAACTTTTCCTCAGCTGAAACCTATTTTCCTTTTTTTTATGCCAAGCAAGCAACAGTCAAGTTTTGCACCATAGCAAGAAGAATATACTGGAAAAAATAAAAGAAAAAATGAGGTTTTTCTCATGGTTCCATTTTATTTTATTTTTATAAGAGACAAAATTAACTAGTAATTAAGACTGAATATTTTTTTGATTCCTTTCTTTCGTCTTTTTTCTTTTTCATGAACAATAATTTTATTGTAAGTTGATAATGTTTTTGGAAGTGATCAAAGCTTTGAGGCTGCCAATATAATATAATCCTGCGTGTAAACTACTAAAGTTTCATTCCACCCTAACCAAATTGATAACTTTGCTTTAAAAAACTCAAATACCAACATTCTGTGTGGGGAAACTTGAGAACTAAAAGCATCTGCTGCGGCGCAGGCCGAGGCTAGTATTATTAACTATTTTACGAGCAGCTCTTTGAGGGCAACTTGGTCGCCAAAGAGATATGGCAAGTGACCGGCCGCAGTTTTAGCCCCCTTCTTGAAACCCAAAAAGCTGACAAGTTGCAAAGCCGAAACGAAAATACACGGTCGGCCTTTTCATCAAATTAGGAGTTTTCTTGCGGTCCAAAAAGGAGTACTCGGCTCGAGGAGACGGCTGAGATTGTGGAATGTGACGAAAGTTTTCCACTACTTATGACGATTGATTCGCAGCAACACGTGCGCCACATAGTATGTAATATAAGGGGTGCTCCACATCTGTGGCACATCCCATTGATCCAATCTATACTGTAGTGTTCTAGGAGTAATAGAAAACATTGATCTCACCCACATTCAGCCCACATCAATTCGAAAAATATAGGTTTGAATAATGTTTAAAGATAAACATTTATGTCACAGAATTGAAACAGACTAATAAAATTAAAATTTTATTTTATAAACTATAATTTCCATATTGAAGTTCATTCCCTATTCATTCTCAGACAAATTGATAGAAAATTAGTTTTTAAATATAGTGGTAAATTTTTTGTTCTAATTTTAAATCGTCGTTTAGAGTAACTGACAAGAAATTACATTTTCCCCTTTTCTTCGGCTTTAAAAATTCGTACGCAATATATTGACGATGTGGAAAATTAGATTATTAAAATTACAAATTGAAATTATAAAATTGCCACATTTAGACTCGTTTTATCATATTAATATGAACAATCGCGAGTGCAAACCATGAAAAAGTTAAAACGTAAGAGAGAAATTGCTATTGCACTTATCGCTGGAATTGTCATTCAAATTACCAGCACAAAATTGCTGTATATTTGACGAGAGAGTTCGCCAATGGAGGGGGTGGAGTGCGGCGTTGGGCGCAGCAATCTCGTCAGGAAGTGGACTTTAGTAGTCGCCCTTGCGAGGTATAAATTAGTTATATTGCAGCAGGCGCGAGCAGAGGAGCTGGGTGCCGAGAGATAAGATAGAGCGGCTTCCCATTCATTAATATATTACGTTCACGCACGTCTCTCGCTCTTTCTCTCTCTCCTGGGTGTTCACAGCGGGCGGTACAACTTTTAGTTTCGCAAGTGGCAACAGCTTCTGTTTATATTCGCACCCAGCGCGCCCCGCACATAATTCAAATCGCAAAGTTTTAATCGCGTCGCATCTCCGCGTGCAATGTTAATCGCGGTAGGATTTCCCTCCCGCTCTCACCGCTATTGGAAAGTCATTTGTGCTCTGCTGGGTTCGTTTGAGAGGTGTGAAAATAATGAGCCTGGTTGAGTACGAGAGGGCGCGGCCCAGAGAGAAACTAAGTTTTCGCAAACTCAAACAATGGCAAATCCCCGTTTCTAATTCCGAGTGTCGCGCGTGGCGCGAGTTCGACCTTAAGTAAAAGATCTTGTCTCGCCAGATAAGCAGCTCAAGTGTCAATGTAGCGAGTCTTTTCTTCCCGGCGAAGAGGAAAGTTTCAGCCCCACTCGCAAGATTTATGTGCGCGAGCGCCAGATAATAACTAACTTGTCTTATCTGTCCAGCCGGCTCGATCCCCTGCCTTCTCCAGTGGCTTTAATTAATTAGCACCATTTTTGCAGCCAGCAAAACTTTGCTTTTGAAGATCTTTGCTTGCTTGTGAACTAAAGTAATTAATAAGTTTATTTCATGTTCAAATTATTTCAGAGTCGCTATACTTCTTCACTTCATACTCTAGTATTAAAAAGGTCGTCACACCATAAAAATAAATTTGCCACCATCATTTGATTTTATGATTGCAAATATTTGAATCAATTTCCATGGTTTCATCCTTTGTAATTTATGTTATTACTTAGATTTTATATTTAAAATATTATATTTCCACAGTTTTGTGTTAGCAATTTAACTAACTAGGAATTTACCAGTTATAATTTTCCTGCGAAATTTAGTTGCAAATATTATTTAATTTCATTAAATAAATAATTTATTATTTAATTCAATTTTTATCAGAAAATGTATGTGTTCAGTCTTGATTGGGTCATATCAGTGTCGTGCACCAAAGTGGCTCTTAGAGTGTTCTAGTTCGCTTGCTTGTGTGTTCAGATTACGTTTATTTCGTGCCATCCGCGCAATTTATGCTGCAGATGCAAATCCGCCGAGATTCGCATTTTAATTCTGCCGGTCGGATCAGCTAGGAGGAGATTTTCCACTCGGCGTGCCGCTCATCGGCCTTTCCAGTCACGCGGCGTGGCTTTTATTAAAAGTACACGCGGATGATCCCGGCGCTCGATCGCACACACGTCTCAATAGCCCTATCGTATAGCTACTGCATTATTACCTCCTCGCTTTGTGCTACAACAAGGCCCTACCGATATCTCCGACTTTGCACAGTGAAAGGCTGGCCCTAAATTGTCCCTGCGAACGAACAATGAAATGACCAGGCCAGCAAAAGTAAGCGCTGGTCGATTTTCATTTCGAGCGTCCGTGCTCCGCATCAGAGCGTCGTTTGCTGTTTTTATGCGCGAGCACTCCAGCTTGCTAGTTTCTATCTTGTGTGCTTGCGGCACCATTGATAAAGACCAATGAACACAAAAGTATGCAAAAACCCATTTATAAGGCTAAAAAATGTTGGAAAATTTATTTTGTAATTTGAATTTTTTTTAATTTTTATGCATTGATGGGCCCTGAAATGCATTATATTATCCATATTTTATTTTATCGTGATGCAAAAAGTTTGCAACGCGTTAAATTTCCTTTAACCAAATATTGAAATTTTTTAAGATTTCAATCGTTGTTATTAATTTAAAATTTAACATTCAACCATATA